CAGGAATAGAACGAAGAACACTTTTAATAAGAGTTAACTAACCATCAAAGCTAAGAAAGTTAGAATCTCAAGAAGAGAGTCTATTATGCACAACGAAAATTAAATCATCAAAAAGAAAAGATCTCTTTCTACCCTTATAAATAGGCACACCAAGATACTTTAAAGGCAAACAGACATGATTAAAACCAGTTAAATTCTTAATAGCCACAATGCGATACAAAGGAACATTTTTAGCAGAATAAAGCCACATTAATGTTTATTAAGTGACAGACCACTCACCAATTCAAGTTATTAAAAAATCTCAACAATCTATGAATCCTTTTTAAAGAGGAAGTAGTAAAAATAATAAAATCATAAGTAAAACATAAATAAGAAATATGAAAATCACCTAAAGTTTTAAAGTAAAGGCTAAGAAACTTCTCAAAGAGATCAATAAGCCCTCTAGAAAAGTATTCGGGTGCACTAATAAAAAGAGCCGTAGAGATGGGTTCCCCCTGTCTCAGGCCATGAGAAGCCTTAAAGAAGCCATTAGACTTACCATTAAAAATGATAAACAAATAAGGGTTTTTGATACAAAGCTTAATGAGATTGATAAAATTTAAATCAAATAACTTCATAATATCATAAAGAAAAATTCAATCATTATTATCATAAGCCTTGGCAATATCAAGTTTCAAAATCATATTACCACCTCTAACTTTAACATTCAAATCATGAAAAAATTCTTGAGCCCTAAGGATATCTGCAATAGCACGACCTTTGATAAAACCCATTTGAAAAGGGGAAATCAGTTTAGGCAGAAAAGTCGTTAACTGATTCATCAAAATTTTAGAGATTAGTTTATAATAAAAGGTATATAGACTAACAGGTCTAAAATTATTCCAAGAAATATTCAAGTTATTCTTAGGAATAAGCACAATAGAAGTAGCAGTAAAAAATTTAGGTATAGAATTACCATTAAAGAAATCTAAAACAGCAGAAAAGAGATCATTACTAGTGATATGCCAAGTTTTTTAGTCACTGACTCAAAATTCATACCAAAAATAGTATTTTTTAACTTCCTCCAAAGAAGGGGGCTTAGACAAGAAAGCATTATCATCATGAGCAATAAGAGAAGGAATAATATTAGGATTATCAATAGAGGAAGGGTTGAAGTTTTTATTCAAATGATTTTTAAAGTGTTGAACATCTAAGTTAGTAATTTCAGCACCATCCTCAGTAACAGAGCCATCAACCTGATCAATTTTGTGAATGCAATTAATAGTGTGTTTCCCCTTAACCAAGGCATGAAAATATTTAATATTATTGTCACCTTCAACAAAATGTTTAACAACATATTTCTATTTCCAAAACATTTCCTCTTAGGCTTGAAGTTTATAGAGCTCATCTTTAGCCTCTCTCAATAAATAAAAGTTAGATTTAGAAGGAAATAATTGGCATTGAGTCTCCTGACAATTCACTTTATCTTTCACAATTAAAATGTTAGAAAAAGATTATTAAAAATATTATGATTCCACCAATTCAGAACAAACTTAAGTCTTTTCAGCTTATACCACAATCTACACATACCAGAAATAACATTATCCGGATGCAAAGGAGCAAGAAAATTATCCTTCACCACATTTATAAAAGAATCATGAAGTAACCACATATTTTGAAATCTAAATTGAGAAGGAAAATCTCTCACTCTAGGTTTGATTTTAATAAGAAGAGAAGAATGATTAGAAAGGGTCCTGATAAGATGATCAACATTAGTAGAATCAAAATAATTTAGCCGATAATCATCAAATAAAACTCGATCTAATCTTTGCCATAAATGACCACGATGCCAAGTAAAATTATCACCAGAGAAACCAATATCAATAAGGTTACAATTCATAATCATACTATTAAAATCTTCCATAGAATGGTAGATATGGAGAAAGCCCCCTATACGCTGGCAGACGGGTTGGTAATGATATTAAAATCGCCACCCACAAGCTCAAAAAGATTACAAATACTATGAAATTGAGTAATTTGATCGCATAAAATCTTTCTAGTATAATGAGAAGAGGCAACATAAACAAAGGAAGCATAACATTACAAATTAGAACTCTCAATATTACAATGAATAACTTGATTAAAATCACAAATAATGTCAACCCTAACAAAATATTTCCAGAAGACCCAAATTTTATTGGCAACATTAGCCAAAGCATTTTTAAAATTCAAAAATTTAACAGTACTAAGTAACTTATTAGAGGATACAAGAGGCTCAAGCAAGACAAGAAGCGAAACTTTATAGATACAACATAAGTTTTTCACTCAAAATTTCGAAGAAGAGCAACCAATGCCCCTAAAATTTCAAATAATAGCGTTAAATATATAAATAACAATTAATGAGAAGTATGTGAATAGGTATTATGAGAGGTTTGCAAAACAAAAGCTTTTTGCTTTCTACCTCTCCAACCATGACCCTTGGTAAAACTAGTATCATTATTATCTCTAGCAAAGCATTTAGCCAACATATTCATATCGTCAGTGTCAGTAAAAACATCACTATGATAATTTTCATTCAAAGAAAAATTACTTTAACTAATCATACCTGAATGCCCCCTAGAAAGATTCATTTTTCTTTCCTCAAGGAACACATCACCTTCAACATTGGTCTCATTGTGCACACCAGTATCACCTATCTTCTCCACCTCAGTTTGGGAAGTAAACTGAATAGTACTATCATTTTGCATAATTTCCTCCTCAACACCAACATTATTAACCAACCCATCCTGCAAAAGAGGCTCAACAGAGATGGAATCATTATTAAGATTAGCAACATTATTTTGATCAATAACAATATGAGAATCAATAGTTATGGAAGAGACAGAGTTAAGATTAACTTCTTTCCCTTTAACCAAATATTACATAATAATAGGGTTCGGTTCCACCTGAACATAATCCAAATTTAAGGATTCATTAATAGGGTCTTGCACTTGAGAAACATTAAACACATTAACATCATGATTAGGAATATCAGAAACCAATTCAACAGAAGTTAATTCACTTTTGTGAGACAAGATAGTAAGTTCCTTAGCCTTTTGAAGATGGGGTGTAATTTATAACAAGTAGATAAATCATGGCCATGCATCTTGCAATGAGAACAAAAAATCGGTAAGTTTTCAAATTCAACCTTTTGGAAATATCCAGTAAGTTCCGAACCAATCTAAACCTCGTTAGGATGCTTTTTAGAAATATCTTATCCAGCTAAAACACGAGCTATAGATGGCCGAGAGATGGAAGCTGTAGCTTGATCCATATGCAACGGTTTCCAAAGATAGAGGCTAAGCCAAATGAAATTTACGAATTGAAGAAATGTAAATAGAGATTAGGAAAAGAAATCCACACCGGGTTTATAGGAGATTCTTCATGCACGTCAAAATAAGGAGAGCATTTAAGCAATCTCATTTGACAACCCAAAATATAATAGGACCTCCTAGAAAAGATACATCTGCAGTTCAAATCATTACTCAATTGAATCGCTATATGCCTAGAGTCCAATAAACTCACCCGGAACAATCCCATCAATTTCAAATTCAAGAAAAACTTATGAATAACATCTAAGTTTGGCCTCTTGAGCATGAAATTTCCCACAAGAGTGAGCGCTTAAGGAGCAGCAAGTAGGGAAACAACCGAATCCTCAAGCAACAAAGCCGTACATGCTTTGAAGGAAGAATGGGTAATTTAGTGGAAGAAGATGAAGAACCAGCCAAAACTTTCTTAAAGAGCGGGACTTGCCATTCAGAAGTACAACTGGTTGAGGGATAGATGACAACGGCGTCGTCATCTCCCGAAAAATCGCAAAATCCTAACTCAGAACAACGAAACAAAACGAAGAACTGAACAAGGAAAAGAAACGAGCAGCGAAATCCATGACGAAAAGCTAGAAATGCAAAAGAAATCAGCCAGAACCGAAGGAAAATCGCGAATGCAAGAAGAAGCCCCAAATCGCCTCGAAGTCGCCTCTGAGCAGAGAGCAGGGAGCCGTTGACTTGCATGTATAAGAATATGAATCATCCTTTAACCCATTTGTTTCTTTGTATGTGGTCATGAGTTTTTCCCAATTTTTTTACTATCTTTCAAGTTGCACAGTTTCATGCATAAAATCATTATACTTTAACCCACAAAATTATGCATTAACATTTTTAACATCAAGTAAATTGAGATATATGACTCAGCTTGAGAACATTCTTTTATTGTCATAAAGTGTTATAACACCATCAACAATAGAAATAGGTATTTAATAATGGGCTATCTCTTAATTTAATCTAAATAAGAAATTAAGAAAATCGGATCAAAATAAATTCATTTTGACTAACATATCATTATATGATCTCATATATTTTAAAATATAATATACTTTAATTTCAACAAAGTAACATAGGCAAATTACAACAAGCTTTGCGCTCATATTATTGACATGGGCAAAAATATACTAACTTGATTGACAAAATTAATTCCTTTATATAAATTAGCAATAAAATAAAAATAACTTCAATTTACATACTAATGGAACTAAATTTACAAGAAAACTCATACGACTGTAAGACCAAAAAACGCTTTGTCTTTAATGCAACAGAGAGAAAAATAAAAGTCTCTCTCTCTCTCTCTCTCTCTCTCTCTCTCTCTCTCTCTCTTCTTTGATCATTATACATTTGTCTCTTAAATCTAAACGTTAACTGTAAAACGCTAGCAATTAGAAACATTCTTAAAACTAATACATAAAAGAGAAACAGCACCAAAACTTTTAATACACTTACTGCTCGTGAAATGAAACATATATAAACTTCAACTGTAATAAAATATATTAACTCACTTGAAATAGAATGTCGTAACTTCACAGCCTCCTCATTATCTCTTTCTCTTTATATATAAAGCCGCCTCCTCTCCTTCACCATCCCTTCATCACAAGCTGAAACACCTGTACTACTTCCTACAATATATATTTCAAAGTGGATAAAATATCCATGGCAAAGTACTACTCTTCTGCAACTTTTGTCATCCTTCTTCTCATAGCTGCAGCCATGACAGCTCCTCAAACAGCTTCCTCCTATCTAACAGGCGAAAGCCTCTTCAGATGCTGGGAAGCCGTCCACTCCTTGGAAGGCTGTGTGGCCAAGTTGGTGGCGCCGGAGGCCCTCAACATCCACCTGAGGCTGACGCCACGGTGCTGCGTAGCTATAAAGGAGATAGGAGAGAACTGCTTGTCGACCATTTACCCGAGCTTCGCTGTCGCACCCTCGTTGGGTTCTTTGCTTGATGGGATTTGTGCTGATTACTTGACTCCCGCGCCGCAGCCTGCTGCAAGTGATTGATTAATTAGTTTGTTAGGAGAAAATGTATGGATCGATATGAGATTAATTTATGTTCTGTTATTTTACTTTATGTTTTGCAATAAATTAATCTGGTTCTACGTTATTTGAAGGTTTTATGGCATGGGAAAAGAGAAACGGATCATTGTGTGATTATAGTAAGATTATTATAGAGACAGAACAAATAAAATAGGCTCAAAAGCATCAAAAATCTAAGCACCCGTAAATTCACTACAAAGGAGAAGATCGTAATCTTCTGTCAAGCATGAGAAAAGATAAATGTGTGTGTGAGAGAAAGAGAGAGAGAGAACAACAACATCATCAAGCCTTTATCCCACTAAGTGAGATTGCTACATGAATCCTTTTTCGTCATTGTATTTGGTTAAAAGTCAAATTCTAAATTAAATCTAATAAAGAAATATCATTTCTAATATTTTCTAATCAAGTCTTTTTAGGTCTACCTCTACCTTTCTTAACATAAGTCAAATATAATACCTCAACTTTCCTAACTGGGTCATCGAAGGCCTCCGTCTTAAGGATGATTAAATTATTCTAAGAAATTATTTAGTTATATGGTTTATTAAAAGGTATCCTACATCTCTATGCAATCAATCTTTGTAAAATGTTTGGACCAATGATCCCTTTATTTCATACTCTTATAGCATAGAAAATAATTTCTTTTTTCATTTTTTTTATATCTCCCTTCTTTTTTCTTATTTATTAAAAAAAAAAATCCTAGCTCATTTTATCTTCAAAAATTTGAGCCAATTCAATTTCAAGGCATGCATTTATTTAGGCATTGAAAAAATCATGAAATAACTAGCATAAGTAATGGCGAAATTTTGTGCCAATATTTTCCTTCAGAAAATTTACTAACATAAGTAATTATTTCTGTGAAAATTTTCAACCAAGAAAAAAAAAAAAAAAACATGATGAGCTGAATTGATAGGTTTAGCTACCAAGCCCACGACTTTCTTCCACCAAATTTTATTAGCCCTAGCAATCCTTTAACTCACAAAAATCATCACACAATGCCATGATGAGGTCTTGCCGACGATACCTCGCCTCCATTTGATAAGTTTATCTTTTAAAAATAAAATTTAGGATCATCCAAACGTAACTCTGATTTCAAAAAACTAATAGTCAACATGAACATCTTGACTATTGACACAAAAAATGATTTGATGCAAATCCAAATAGGCTCCGATCATACACTTAAAACACTATTCAAATAATCAAATGATCTCAAATCATACATACCTTAGTTGAATTGAGCGCCTTTATCAAAAAATCCAACGATCCAAAGATAAATTTGTTCCAACATCATCAAGACATTTAAATTTTAGGATAGTTCATTTGATGAAGATTTTTGAATTTTTTTTGCAATTATGTAGAATGTCACTCTCAAAAATTATAAATAGACCCTCACTCTATACATGAGGGGACTTAATTGAAGGGAAGGAGTGATATCAAATGCTTCCAAGATCAATCATCGTCAGGACACAATCGTCGAACAATCACCATCCAACTGCTGATGTTAGACCACCATTACTTGGCTACAACTATCAAACTATTATCATTTGACCATCATCATCGTTCAACTACCACTGATCATCATCATCATCTAACCATCACCACTAGATCGCCATCATCTAACCACCTTCACCGTTCCACCATTATTCAACAAGCATTATCTGATCATCACTGCCCAAACATGAACCATCATCAGACTATCATTGTTAGATTATTATCAACTTATTATCACCTACAATCTTCCACCATCCAAATCCATTTGCACAACATGGTCTTCTAACCATCAACATTAGACTATGATGCTCCACTACCTTCACACAACTATAATCCTCTAACCAATACCACTTGGTTACAATCTCTCGAACGCCATCACCAAATTTTTATATATCTTCTAACTAACATTGCCTTACTATATTCCTTTGATCATCATAGCTCAACTATAATCTCTTAATCATAGTCAACCAATTATGTTATTTCAACCACCATCGTCCAAATACGATCTCCCAACCACTGTCACCCCATTACAATCTCTAAACTAATTTTGTCCGACTATACTGATCTGTGCTAATTTTGTCGCCTACTTTCATTAGAAACATTGGTGTATGCCAATTTTTTTTAGGATGATGCACATCAATGACATCAAATTTGACTCATAACCTCAGCATCAATATTTAATTTGTACTTCTAGATCTCTCTCATCCACTCTTCAAATGAAAATAATTAAACATTTAGCAAATAATATCTTTAAAACAATTATAATGCTTCAAGACTCCCAACTCCTATCAAATAATCCTTTCTCTATAGTTCATTTCTACTTTTTTATTAATGTCTTCCCCATTTATATGGGAATGCACAATTCTATATTGGTGAAATAATTTCAATTCAGCTTGGCCTTTTGATCGTTTTCTTTTACAAGCTTTCCAAATTAAAATTCTAATATCTATTGCAGCCCTTCTCTCTCTCTCTCTCTCTCTCTCTCTCTCTCTCTCTCTCTCGCTCTCTCGCTCTCTCTCCCTCCCTCCCGTTTAAGGACCCTGTAACCTTTTATTAATTAACATGTAAGCCCATTATGAATTTAAAAAAAATAAAGATGATTGAGATTAATAATCTCTCTACTGAAAAACTAAATGATTGCTAAAATACAAAGAAATAAAAAATAACATTAGTAGTGTGCTTATTAACTTCAAAGATATAAGTGGACCATAAATGGTCACTTAGAATCTTGATTTCATTTGAAAAATTCCAAATTTCATTAGAGTTTTATTTTTTCATTACTTTCTCTCTCCATATATTTACTAATTTTTTCAAAGTCTAACATAAACATAGAATGAGTAAATTAGACGTGTTAATACATGACCTAAAATAACAATGGACTCAACATGAAAAAAAATTCAAGTTTGAGTTTACTCAATTAAAATTCAGGTCAAATTCAGATCTAAAATCTTGGCCTAGTAATATTTTGCATCGGGTTTAGTTTGACTTGTAAACCTAAAATAAGCATGAAATTGACCCAAATATTATTCGAGCTTGGGTTGAAAAAATCATTTTTAGGTTTAATGAGTCATTTTTAGGTTAAATAAATAATTTTTTCTAGAAAATTATATGTTCCATAAAATAAATGATTTAAATAGGCCAGGTTTAAGTTTGTTATAGTCCATAACCCCTAGCCTGAGATTTTGATGTTGTCAAATGTCAATTTAAATTACTTCATTATTCATTGAATATTTTAAATTTTGCTCTTGTCTGTGAGTACTAATATTTCAGGGAGATCGCATATTACTCAAGACAACAAGAAGACTCAAGACTAGGTAGAGTAGGATGTGAAATCTAAATTAACTAAAACTCTATAATTTTTATTTGTTTTTTATTTTTTTCATTTCTTGAGTCTAGCCACAAAGTGCATGCAAACCGAGCAATCGTGCATACATACAGGGAGAGAGATGTTTTTTAAGCAAAATATTTTTAACTCTTTATTGATCGTACTGTATGATTTTAAATCGTACTATATGAACTACTGTGGCTCAATGGCTATCGGTAAATTTATCATATTGTATGATCATTATCGTACTGTATGATATATTTTTAATTTGAAATCCTAGTTGATATGTTAATTTAAGTAAGTTCTTAAATCATACATTTTTAACTGATCGTACTATATGATCAAATTATATAGTATCAATATTTGAATACTTACTTAAATTAACTCCCATAATTAGCAATTAAATCAAAGATTAACTTATGATTGGTGATCGTACTATACGACATGAATCGTATTGTATGATTAACT